CACACACATGACTTTCACAAGTTTCTCTGCGGATTCGGGCTCCTCTCAGCGAGCGCACTCCAATCCCATCTTCGAAAAAAATAATAAAAAAATCCTGGGATGTTTTTTTTGGCTCGTCTGGTTTTGCCGGACGGCCCCCCCCCGTCCGTCTGGCCGAGGTTTCTACTCTATTTTTTCCTGCGGCCGATAGCTGGGCCAAGTACTGGTTTAAGCACACGGCAGAGAGAAGCCAAATGCAGTTAAAGGAAATCATCATAGGTCTCCATGTGAGCTGCAAGGCAGATACTGTCGGACAATGCAACCAGTCGTACAGAAAACTCTCCGCCATCTCTTGTGCGTGGTTTGCACCTGATACCATCACCCTCCTCCCCCGCCTCTCCTCCCATGACAGCAGACCAACATCCTTCTCTCTCTCTCTCTCTCTCTCTCTCTCTCTCTCTCTCTCTCTCTCTCTCTCTCTCTCTCTCTCGCCCATGTGGGTCAAGCAGGGAGAACCACAGATCACTCTCAACAGCACACCACGGGACTGCTAGCTGGTACAATGTGGGCTAGGCAGTATTATGTTGCCTTCGTGATACTATGTGGGTTGGGCGGTACCATGTAGACTTGGTGCTCTGGCTGCACAGTACTATGTGGGGTGGGTCATACCATGTGGACTGGATCACAGTATGTGGGCGGGGCGGTTCAACCAGGAGTAAGGTGGACGATGCTACTGGACTGGGTGGTACGATGCCAGGTAAAGTGGGCTGGGCTGCACGAACCCCTCTTACCCCCTCCCCCTCAAAGGAAAGAAGAGCCAAAGAGAACTTGCCCCAGAGAGTACCCCTATGTACTTCGTGTGTTGGAAGCCCCTCCTACAAAAATGCGAAAAAACACACCAGTACTTCTGAGGCACTTTTCTCCGATGCTGGAAACGCACTGCGCGCCCAAAGAACCCGAACCGGCGCAACTCTCTTTTTCGCTGGCGACGCCAGCCATTTTGCTCTGGTTCCAGAGCCCCGGAAGTCACGGTGCGTTAAC